TGAGGTTATAGACCAAGCTATGGAGAAATGCCATGCGGAGTTTTCTTATCCAAGAACAGGGGATGTTTTCCCATTTTTTTACTTGTGTGTCTTTCAGGAGTATTTTAAGAATTTTCCTCAAAGAGATTTCCCCTTTCATAGTACATGTATTCCTGTGCATTTAATCTTACACAAATATGTTGAACTCTATACCCTAATTTTACATTCCTCCTATGTACCTTGGCATATTCTCAAAAACTGACCATGTATTTATTAGACCACAAAGAGAACTATTTGAATGTAATTAAAATGTAATAAAACTATATACAAACAAAAACCTGAACAGAAAGGCCCTTTCACCTGGAAACTTAAAACTTCCCATTAAACAACTCTTGAGTAGAATGGGAAATACAAACTGAAATTAAAGAAATTCTTAAAATGACAGGGAAGATACTGTATACCAGAATCATGGCATACATTTAAAGCAATGATCAGAGGAAAACTAGTTACACTAAACTCATGAAAAAATAAATGAATTAAATTCTCAGCTTATATAATGAAATGAGCAACAAGTAAATCAAAGGAATGAAAGAGAGATGGAAAGATGTACTTAGCATATATAGAAAAAATACTTACTTTTTTAAAAAAGTGGAGAAGAGAAGGGACATAAGTGGAAGTAGTGTTGTATGTCTTACGTTTAGAGCACTATGTAAAACTGAGAAAACTATGTAGGGTAATAGAGCCAGAACACTCTAAACCAGTCGATAGAAACCTAAAAATGTTGAAATAACACACTGAAAGGCAAGCAAAACAGAAGAATCAGAAACAGAAAAGTTAAAAAAAAATTCTATGCCAATAATCAAATGTCTTAAAGATAGACAAGATGCTGACTCTGTCTCAAAATATTTTTTCCCCTTCTTTTTTGAGTAAGAATGATAACAAGAGCTTTAAACAAACATGCCACTGTAAGCATTCTGTAAATGCTCGTACGCCACCTCTTCACAGGTTCTCTGAGGTCTGCATGTGCTTGCAGATACGCAAAGACTACCAGTTATGGATAGTTTTAAAGGAATGAATTTCTAGACCACGGTTTTCATGGTATTCTCTTCTTGCTGATAGAGGTTTTCTTGCATAGGGAGGTTCTCTTCTGTCTCCTTCATTCACTTCAAAATAACCTCTCCCACTAGCCAGAGGACTCAAATGATGCAGTGCCCAAGACATACTTCCATGGGGCACCGCACCAAAGGGCTGCCGAAATGAGTCTTTTCCAGGAAGCCTTTGTGACTGGTGAATGCAAGAACCCCGAGTCGGGGGCTTCCCTGCCTTTAGTAATACTTGTTGCCAGTGAAGCATCACATTAGCAGTGCAGTGTGCAGGACCTTCGCAGGCTCTGAAACCAGGCATTTCAGCAAGGTGGGAATGATGGCAGTTTCTTCTTAACAATTTTCTCCCCTTCCATTCCACAAATACTGTCAAATAATGTGCCAGTTTTGAGAGGGAGCATGATAGAAACAGGGTTCTGCAGAAAAAATATTGAAGACTTAAAGTGATAGACACATACACTTTTTAAAATGTAAGCACTACCCTTTAGCAAAAGGTGATTGAAAAATATTTTGCATTAGGGCCAACCAGTCAAACCATCATGGACTTAGCTGTTCATGTCAATCCTGTCTTCAGCCTTGACCAGTGCTCAGGCCAAATACAGGAGGGCTCATTAACTGGCCAAAACAGCAACTTTAAAAAGCTATAGCTACATGCTAATGGCTCTCATTTTTTCCCCTTTAATACTTTTTTCCAATATACAGTATAATGCAGATTTTAAGTTTACATTTTCATGAATTTTGATAAACTTGTTTGATCCTAAAGCATGGAATATTCCCATCATCCCAGAAAGGTCCCTTCAGCTACTCTCCTCTCCCAAATTTCCACCAAGAAGCCACCATTCTGATTTCTCTCACCATCAGTTACTTTTGCCTGTTCTAGAACTTCATGTAAATGGAATCACGTGCTTCTTTTGTATCTGGTTTCTTTTACTCAGCATCTGATCTTTGAGATTTTTTCATGATGTGCCCTTAGTAGCTCTTTCCTTTGTATTATGCAGTATTTCATTTTACAATACTACATTATACAATGATTTGTTTGCCCATTTTCTTGTGGATAGATTGAGTTGTTTCTAGGCTAGTATGAATAAAGTTGTTGTGAACAATAACAAAAACAGCAAAGCACAAAGGAAATGATAAAGATAAAAGAAATTACTGAGAAAAACATAAGCTCTAATCAAATCCTTTTAAGAAAAATCCTAGTATCTCATTAAAAAATGCATCATGATTGATTAGAATTTATTCCAGGAGTGCAAGGTAGGGTTGCTGTTAGAGACTCTGTTAATGTCATATGCCAATTAATAAATCTAAGGAATAAAACTGTATCTCCAAGCTGTTATGATATGATTATTTCTAAAGCTAGTGTATTTAATGGGAACACCTGAGAGACATTTCCACTGAGATCAGGTACACAGGGATGCCCACTATTTCCAGTACTTTCCACATTGTATTAGAGGCACAATAGAGTTAAAGGTTTACAAAAGGTTGAAGAAAAAGTAGAACTTAATTTGCAAATAACAGCATATCTGGAAAACCTCAGAGAATCAATGATTAAACTATATCAAATACTGAAGAATTGAGTCAAGTAACAGGATATAAAATTAACATATAAAAATCAGTATTCATATAATTAAAAGGAAGTAAGTAGAGGACATAATGGTAGATAAAATTCCATTTATTATAGTTTCATAGCCATTTATCAGATGATGTGCTTCTGTTCCCACTGCTTTTGGCTTTCCCTAGACCAGTTGTGTTGTCCTTCCCAGGGAACATGTGGCAATGTCTTTAGATCTTTTTGGTTGTCACAGTGGTGTGTGCATGTGTGTGTGTATGTGTGTGCATGTGCTGTGCAATAGAGGCCTGTGGTGCTGCTAAGTACAGGACAGCCCCTGACAACAAAGAATTTCTCAGTCTAAAATGTCAGGAGTGCTGAGGTTGAAAAAGTCTGTCCTAAACAAATCTGATTTCCATTGCCAACTGTGGGTTGATAGGGTTTCTATACCTTTAATACATGAATTAATACTCAAGTTAAAGGGTAAACCTAAATTTGAGTGATAGTGATGAAAGTGAAATCAGTTCCCTTTAGTAATAGTCAGTGATGGAAATAAACTTATGTTACATCGCACTGAATAGTGTGTAGAGTTTCATAGCCTCTTATTTTATCTTAATGTTTTTATGAGATAGGTAGAGTAGGTGTTCTTATCCCTATTTAACTATAAAGTAGCTTGTCTGTATCTTCCAGGCTTTAGGAACGAAGTCCCTTCAGATAGATGGGTAGTTAGTTGCAGAGTATGTACATTGTTCATCTGTAAAAATGATCTTACTTGCTTTTTCTCTTCTGGAAACATTTTAATTACAGTTAAATACTAGAGAGATAGATCCTGGGCCTGAAAGTTTGATACCAACTCATGTTTTCCTTTAATTGTATCTTGTTAACCTACAACTTAGTACTTCCAATAGAACTTTCTTCAATGATGGAAATGTTACATAAATCAGTGCTGTTCAACATGGTAACCACAAGCCACATGCAGCTATATATGTTTACATTAGTTAAAGTTAAATAAAATTAAAATTCAGTTCTCATCAGTTGTACTAGCCAGCCCCATTTTAAGCACTTCATAGTCCTGTGTTATCTATCCTTCTAAACAGTAGTTCCCAAAGGAACTTTAATAAATCAGTAACATTTTTGTTTAATTTTACAAATGGAGATCGTCTGAATCCATCTTTGCTTCTGCCCATTACTGAGGCATTGGTCACAGTTACTTAAGCACCATGGGAAAGGAGGACATTGCTGTTTAATTTCTTGGTAGGAAGTGAATGAACGTCTCTCTCCATGTTGATAGCCGTCAGCAGTTTCTTTCACAGACGTTAGCTGGTATGTCTTTGACATGCTCACTCATGAGGCCTGTGGAAGTGGAATGCCTTACCAAGCAGTGGGGGTCACATCCCTGCAAGCAGCCTGCTTATGCTTTTGAGCCTCCAAGTCCATCTACTCTGATTGCAGCCTTTGGCTTCCACTTGATATTAAAGTTACCTTCTGTGGCTGCTGAGGGAGTTGGAGAAAACCTTCCAGCCCCCTTGAGAACCCTGGAAATTCTTCCAGTGTGTGAGTGCGTGCATGCATGTGTGTGTGTAAACAGGAAGGTGGTCCCTACTGCACGGTATGTTTCTGATACTTATTTTTGGTGCATGGAAACATTGATGAAGGAGTTCTGTAGTGGAGTTTTCAGCCATATTGTGTTTTAACATTTGTTGGTACATGAACCTGGAAACCTTATTGCTCTTCATTGCAGTATTTCCATGGGAAAGTTTTTCTCCACTTAACAGTCACTCAACATAACCTGAAAATTTGTGAAGTGTTTATATATTAGAGCCCATCCACATATTTAAAGTCAAAATAACCCAAGGTTTTAGTTTCCAAGTTTGTTTCTTGCATGTTAAAAGAGAAGAAAAATTTGAACAGTTCTGCCTTTCATAAGGGAGCAGGAAGAAAAGACCCATTTTGCTTTCATGATTTAGAAAGGCTTCAGGGGGATTTTTTTGTAAAGTAATTTAACTGTGGTTTAAAATTTCCCATCATTTCTAGTTTACTATCCTTTCACCACAGTCCTGCCTTTAATTTATCTTTGTGGTTTAAATAAGTTTATTCTATGACTAAAATGCTGAGATAAAAGCAGGTAAGCTGTTAAGTTGTGGGTTGAAGTAGCTATGAAACAAAAGATACGTACTGGACATTTTCTGACTTCTTTTGGGAGCTCCCAAGTTCTGAATTGGTAATTGTGGAGCTGCAGCCCTATCCTGCATGCTCTCACAGTGATGCAGATTTAGTTACATCTTCCCCCACCTATATGTCTCCAATAGTATTTTGGTTTCCAAAATAATAATGGTATTACTAATGTACTTTTGTTTGTTTATTTTCAGAGGGAAGTGTAACATATCCCATTTTTCTGACATATTTGCTGCTAGAGAGTTTAAAGCCCGAGTGGATTCATTTTTCTACATATTAGGCTACAATCCTGAGACAAGGTAAGTAAGTCACTTGGGCCCACAGAGTGAGAACTGTTTGACTTTCTCACAAGTGTGTGTACGCACCCATATATGGGCATATTAGTACCAAAACTAAAAATACAAAATTCTGGAGTAAACCTCTTTGGAAGAAGTTATAATTAATGTCTTTGATGTCTAAAGCAGCTTTATTGTTTGCTCTTACTTCATCGAGGAAAGGAAAAGTGAGAAAATTTGGATTTAGAGAGGGCAAGCTAATGACATGATTAATTGATAAGTGTTTAAACTTACTATGAATTGGCAGATTATTAGCTTTATGCACATTCTGTCAAGCCTCCCATGATACCATATTGAAAACATTAGGACACTATGGAAAGTCTTTTCCATTTAATGAAACCCCAGGAACACTGAAATGTCTTTAGCAAGACTGCTGGTATGAGATGGGTACATCTAATTCCCAACTGTCTTGGTAAGATCTGTGTAAGAGGTAAAATTATTATTTCTAAAATTAAAAGCAATAGAGTCAAAGTAATTTAATAGAATTCTTGGTTTATGTCTGTAATAGACCATAGGTTAACTTGGCATATAGAAGAACTTCTGTAAGAGCATACGCATTCATATTTTTATCCTGTAACACTCATGCAACTACATGTTTTATTCAGGATTTTAAAAAGAATATATTAGTGGGTAATTGTTATATGCTTAGGACATCTAAGACATAATCTACAAATTATAAGGATTTATAAAGAAAATATGCTTGGCTTAAGGAAATTAGTGGAAGAACTATATCAAGTGTACTTGAAAGATGGATATTATTTTAGTGAAACTATTTCCCTAGAAGATGCCAAGAAATTATACGTAAAATTTAGAATGGTACTGTTCAGATGGTTAACCTAGGGTCAATAAAAGGCAACGTATTTTTTGTATTGGTTGTAAGAGGCTCTACTTGGGCATATATTTTGGTGTCTCTCTTTATATATACTATATAACAACTATAGGGGTAAGTGTGTAATGGTCACTTTTTTTTGCTTACCTTTGTTTTACTTTAGAAAACAGCAAATTTGAGCTTTTATTTTCTTTTTGAGAAGTATGCCCTGCTTCAGTGACAATGAAGCTAGCTAATCAATGGTAATATTCAAAAGCATCTTATGTTTTGAAATGTCTATTATACATACATATTTATTGACTGCCTAGTCATATCTTCCTGTTACCAAGGTGAAGTATGGATAACTTCAATTTGATTTCTTTCTGGATACAAGGGAGTCTGTTATTTCAGTAATGCCATGTTTATTTAACTTTGATAAATAGTTGTCATATTATGCAAGTTAAATTGAATTAGTGAATTGACTATTGTGTTTTAATTGTTTAGCTTTTGAATTCCTAACAACCAACCAAATTAATTTTTTTTACTAGTTTTGGCTATGCATGTGTTTTTGTTGAATGCTTTTTAAAAGTGATACATAACTTACCTGGCTGGGTAAGCTAGAGACTCACATAAGTTTCTGTCTCATTTTTTTACTGTGTGTTGTTGGCAGTCATTCAGACTGATACTTCCCATCATGAGTTTGTCTTAAAGTATGGGTTAATTATGCAATAGAAAGATACTGTTTGTCGCCTGAAAAAGCAGCACAGAGACATGCCTAGGGATCACTTCTTTTAGTGCTTTGAGCTTCCTAGCGACCATTTGTTCATTTCAGGGCTGTGTTCCCTATGTCTAACTTATGCTTGATAGGTTGAAAGTTCATGAGGTGTGTTGGATGAATCAAAGTGAACAAACATCTGAAAGTCTACTTAGAAGCAAAGCTGTGGCTCACCTCCCACTTCTCACCAAATGAGTGTGAGCATTTGCTGCAGCAGAGCCAGTGTGCCTGCTGTCCTAGCTCACTCTTTTCACCCTGGATGCCACTCATGCCTCTGAAGTTTGGGGTCAGGTGTACACTTCCCACAGCTACTCAAATTCAAGAAAGTGTATGTGATTTGAGAGTATGGACAAAATCTTTGTATTTCTTCTACCTGACTTTATGGACAACCCCGTCCTTAGAATGCTCGAGGTGCATACCTTTGCAGAATGGACCTCTGTTTCTGTCTTTGTTTCATGTCTGTGAAGGGTGGGGCTGTGGATGAGCTGGTTTCTGGTATAATTCTCCCATTTGAATGAGTGGGACAATTCTCTTTGGGTCATTGCCTTTAAAATTTGGGGAGTGTGGATTTCTTGGTAATTGGCATAGAATCACTTGGTATTATTAGGTACTATATTTCATTAATTTCTTTCTCCAGAGTATGGATCATCAATACTAATAAAGTATCTACAATAATATGGATTGATAACCTCTTATCTTCAATTCTGAAATCTCAGAACTCTGAAAATAAAAAATACTCATGCTAAGTTTGGTGCTAAAACTCATTTAATGGTTAGACTTGACCTGAACTTATGTGAGTTAATTTAATTTAATTAGTTAATTAAATTAATTTAGTTCATTGTGTGGATTTGCACAACTTTTACTGTAGAAGTACCGATAGGATAGAATAGGGGTTTTGGCCAGACACTGCTGGGTGTTACACACTGTATGGAATATTCTCTATGACTGCCTTTCTAAATCCCGAAAGCTCTGAATTCTGAAAATCCTTTCACTCTAAGGATCTTAGATAAGGGATTGTGACACTATGTTCTTCCTAGCCATAACACTAATGGAGCAAAACCTAATTGGGTGAAAAAAACTGGGGGGCAGATGTTTCTAAAGTAAAGTAGAATATAGGCTGCAAGGGGCTGACAAATGAGAGATGCTTGAGTCTAATGCTGGCCTAAACTTTGAACCATCAGGCAATTGGGCTTTTTGCTTTTGGAGTTTGTTTTAACATTTCTGCACTCAGGAAGTATTCACTCTTGCTGTATGAATAAGATTCGTGCCAAATTGACTTCTGTAGTTAGCATGCTCTGCAACATAATATCATAATGCTCTCATTTTGTTTGATGGGTCTGATCCAAAATCTGGTTAGAAACTTAATAAAGTCAATAAATTTGAGCTCAGGGTTCTTAATACATAACAGCTAGTTAGACATTATGTACCTTTGACCAAAACACCAGTGTTCTTGGTTGAACTAAAGTAGGTAGGTCTTAGCTTTAAAAGGAGACGAGCATAGGGACACCGTTACATTCATTCTTTTACTGTCCTTAGTTACTTTTTTTATTTGTGCAGTACCTCATAGCCATTTAATAGGAGTGCTAAAGCCTTTTGTTAAAACCCATGACCTGGCAAGATCGCCTGTCTTGGACCCAGGCAGCCTGGGTTCCGATCCTGTATTGCGGCTTCATCTTTGTATCCGTAGGTGAGGCTTATACTTCCTGGACTCTGTTTCCTCTTCAGTAAAATGGGGATGGCACAAGCTACCCTGTAGGTAGCTTTTGTAAACTGTAAGGTTTTCTGTTGCTTCTTGAGAACTACAAAAATAATTACAAATTTTCTTTTGAAGAAAAGGTCGAAAAATATCAAAGTTCTTTTTTTTTTTATCCCCATACAATGTTAAGTCTAAAAACAAAACATAAACTGCTAGCCAAGAGTCTTAATTCCACCAGGTAGACCATTAATTATCTGTTTCATTGTGCAGACTATGGAAGTCTGAGCACTGGGGTAAAAAATGACTCTGCTTGAAATACTGATTATAAAATTCTTTAAAAATATGCAGTTGCTAAAAACATAAGATAAATTTCTTCGTTAACTCTAATGAAACTGCCTCAACAATTATAAACCAATATCTAATGCGAGGTATACTCATTCCTATGCTAAAAACATAAGATAAATTTCTTCGTTAACTCTAATGAAACTGCCTCAACAATTATAAACCAATATCTAATGCGAGGTATACTCATTCCTCCATGTCACTGCTGTCAGGCCTTGGGAGTAAACAGAGCTCTAGGTGGGGGGGGTGTTTTGGGGGAAGATAATGCACACTTTTACATCTGTATTTCTGTCTCTTGTATGTGATCCATGAATTCATACCAAATTCTCTGATTCTAAAACAATTCCACAGATTTCCTGTTAGTTTTTCCCTTTTATTTGTAATTTGCATCTTTAACTGTGAGAAACCTTATTTCATTATCCTTAAAACGTGAATTCCAGTTTCTTACCACTGAATCTGTTCTCTCCCACACACAGGTGGGTTTTGACATCTTGAGCTGTATTTTTACTAGGTTTAGCATTTGATATTTCTTAGTGTGACCTCCAGAAATCAAATTTGTAACATTACCTACTCATGGTTCGTAGGATGCCTGTCACTTCTACCATGTAATGGGTGCTTTTCCTGTGCCAGGTCATCTAATTTATTTAATACCCATAAAAGCTCAATGAGGTTGGTATTATTTTTATTTTATAAATGAGGAAATGAATATTAAATGGCTGCCTAAGGCATACAATTAGTGAATAGTGCCCAAGCCTATTTGACTCCAAAGCTTGTGCTTTTAACCTCTCTATGAGTTCATCACAGGTTGATTCATACACAACCTACTTTTCTTCTGCCCTGGTTGGAAAGTAGTTTTTCTAATGGAAAAAAAGAGCAGTTGCTCAATAGAGAGTAACTTGACAAATAGAACAGTTAGAGAAGCAAACTGAAATAGTGTGTAATTCTATAACCCGTATTTGTGCTTTTCCTTCCTATACATGTGTGCATGTGTATAGGTATTTAGGTATTTATTAAGATTATAATTATAAAGAAGCAAACTGAAACAGTACATAATTCTGTAACCTTATATTTGTGCTTTTCCTCCCTATACATTTGTGTGCATATATATAGGTGTTTATGTATTTATTAAGATTATAATTAAAATATTTTTCATACTTAATATACATGTAATTATACATTCCTTTATTTAGTTCATCTTTTGTTATGAACATAGTACCATGTCATTAAATGTTTTACAGAAACATTTGTAATGAGCCCCTTGTGTACCATTATTTGAGCTTCCCATAATTTATGTTCTCATAGTGTTGAACATTTACAGTTTTTTCAATGTTCGATTATTCTGA